GCTAAACCTGGTTTATTTTTAATAGGAAAAAACGGAAGTGAGCTCTTTTCTGGGGCCACGGCACATCTCCGAAAAACGAAAGGGGGAGAAGGGGAAGACCCAGATACTGGCGTAATCGGCCTAGTCGTTCCAGCAGTTTCTTATCCATTAGTGACAAACGAGCCGGAGTTCAGTAAATTCCTCGGTTTGTTCCATTTTGGCGGCTAACGCTACAATACTTTCTTGTATTTGTTACGGCTGTGATCATGCCTGATCTGGCCGGCCTTGGTAATGTAATGAACTATGCATTTTCTCACGCGTGACGACCAGCAACAGCAATCTCGGACAGCTTAACTCATTCGCTTCGTCAGCCACAGAGACCCTATACCCAAGGTCAGAGGATCAGGAGCCAAGTTTTAGCTCGTCCCCTCTTTGACGCCTCCAAATAGGTCACGGAACTGGATCGAGGACAGCAAACATCGTCTCCGCGTGCCTTGTTGTTGCGCAAGCCTTGAATTGCATCGGCGACATCTAATTCAGAGGATGGGTCGCATGCTGTTGCATAGGTTAGAGAGGAATAAACACCGCTGCAAAGGAGACCGCGGGCATGGTAGGTTCAGTTCAGTTTTCTTAAAGGAAGGAGCTTCCCATTGGTTAGACACAGTGGCCAGGAAATATATAAACACCGAAGAAAATTTCAAAAAGTTGTCATTTACGTGATCGTGGACGAAAAGCGAAGAGCTGTTGCTTGGCCGAAAAGAGTATTGGTAGTTGGCTTGGAAAAGGTATTCGAAGTGGTCACGCTGTCGATTGAGTCCAGCTGAGTTGTCGGCAATAAAATCGGCATTCACATCGCGAAAAGACTCGTTCAGTGCCGAGAACTTAACAATAACGTGGTGGATAATTTGGTAGACTTTTCGGAGTGTGATCAACGTTTGAGCCCTGCTCCACGATGATCATTATTTCAGCCCAGCGGCAGTGCTGCTTGTGGTGGTTGTTGTTGTTTTTGCAGGATCAATTGCAAGGTAAGTGGCTTTTGAACCACGACTTTCGGATCTTCTTCGGAGGTCCTCCGGACGGTTAGGTCGATCGGTGCTCTCAGTGGTGGTGGTGGTGGTGATGATGATGATGATGATGATGATGCCGAGGAGGACAGCGGCGGAGATGATTTTACTTATGATGGTAGTGATGATATTGGTGACGTTAGTGGTGATGGTCCTCATGCTAGAAGCTTCTATAATAACCCTACTTATTTTCCTTACAGGTACCAATTCATGCCCTACCCCTATACTCGCTCCTGCCAGCGGAGCAACAGAAACGAGTTTTCGAGCCACCGCCAGAGGGCCACCGACTTGTCGTCGTCGCCACGAACGTCGCGGAGACTTCACTAACTATCCCGAACATTCGTTTTGTGGTGGACACTGGCAAGGTATTTCCACTTTCTTCTCCTTCTGCCCTAATAGCTTTTAGATTTAACAGGTTCAGTATCAGTATCAGTATATTGAGGGATATGTAGGTAAAATTCCTTTGAGTTCCCTATTTGTACATATGTGTAGTGGTAGCAGAAAAATTGTATCTCAGACTGCTGGCGGGGCCACTTGTCCTGAGGTCAATTTATTGCAGCCTTGTACGTTTCCTTGCTTCTCCTTTACCTGGTAGAATGTGTAGCTCCTAGGAGCGCGTCGGACAGGGGTTCAGGCCTAACCCTCGGCGCTGATTAAAGTCTCCTTTAGGCTACAGATTCTGTTTGTCCAAGTAAGCGAGCTGATGAAATCCGTAACATACTGCCTACTCAAATACAGATAGTATGCAGTTATGAACAATATACCCGACGTGGTTGTATATTTTATCCTTATGCCCTTTTAATTTCATACAACTCCCTGCCTCTATATTGACATTGAATTTGTCAGTCTGAGTTCCATGAAATGTATGGGACAAAACATCCCGGGTCATTGAGTCTAGTGTCGCTGATTTTACTCTCACGCAAACCGAGCGGCAGTTTGTCTTTGCTTCCGTTTTTGAAGTACGGCATATATAAGGAATCTCTGCTTAAATGACTAAACTATACATTTCGCTACTAAAACAAGTAATCGTTATTACGAAGAAGATGAACGCACGATCAACGCGCCTGAGCTTTTCGACGTATATGGGGATCCGCCGCTAGAAACCATTTGAGTGCAGCAACAATTAGCAGCTTCTTTACAGCCAAGCAATAAAATAACTAATACACATATTCTGCTCGAGAAAGGCTTTTGTGGAAGACATTGGCGACATTGGACGTCCCCAATTGCCAGTCTAGACTTCGTTTCACACCCTTTATGACTTAATTTACCTAACGACAATTTGATCTTCCTTGTCGACCGTGTGCTCCACAACAGGGTGGTGTAGGGACGATGACTTGCGCGTGCATTAGTTCATAGTGATAGTAGGCTTGCACAAAGTTAAGAAGGCTGGAGGCGGGATTAGGCGTTGTGTGCGCATGCGACAGGCGCCTGGTCTGCCCATGATGGACCATCGTTTCACTTGGGAGCTGCTCGGATTCAAACAGAGTGTGAGTGTCATAGATTCCAAGGAGCTATTGCAGCTTTACTGTCCGTAAGAAGAAGAAACGATCACTGGAACAAGAGGTTTATTTTC